CGTACATAGGCCGAAGCCAAAAACTGGATTCCCCTCCCCTGAGCACATAGTATCAAAGCACAATTCCCTCCTCTAGTTGACAGTCATAAATTACATTCCCCAATTAGTTTAAAATGCAGGCTTCCCTTCCAGCTCTCCAGACCGCCAATCCTTATCAGCTCTTATTTCAATAACCTTGGTTCTCACACTAGGTTCAGTACTGTTATGTCTAGCTAGACTCTCATGAGAGTCATGAGAGTTAACACAAGAAGAAGCTTCTTGAATGAGAAGCAAAATGTTTTCAAAAAAGAAAACTGAAAAAGTCCAGTTGCCTTTTGGAAAAGCACCTTTGGGACAAGTCTTAATACAGACATTTCACTCCAGGCCTCATGGGGAATATTCATACAGGGTACTTAATAGAACTCAACCTTGCCTGGGGGTGATTTACCTGAGCTGTGTTTACATGACCACACTGAATCAGGAAGTGAAAATAAAACCTCTGAAATCAAGCCTAACTCTTGGTGACTTTAGGGTATGTAGGTTATTTTCTTGAGAACAAGGCAAAGGTGGTTTAATATTGTTTTTTCCAAGAATTACTAGTGGGCTTCTATCCAAGTCCTAGGCAGATCTGACTCTTTTTAGCTTTATAAGATTAGCTGCTACATCTTAACTACCGTAGCAGGTCATACCAATCCAAGTTCATGGTTCCAACAGATGAAACTCTTCAAAGAACTTTGAGGCATTGTTTACCTTAAAGAATCTTTATTTGAATAGCCTAGCACTGGCACTAACACAATCGAAGCCAAAAACTGAGTTCCCCTCCCCTGAGCACATAGTATCAAAGTACAATTCCCTCCTCCAGTTCATAAATCACATTCCCCAATTAGTTTAAAACAAGGGCTTCCCTTCCAGCTCTCCAGCCCGCTTTATTTCAATAACCTTGGTTCTCACACTAGGTTCAGTGTTATTATGTCTAGCTAGACCAGTGTTTCTCAATCTTGGCAACTTTACGATGTGTGGACTTCAATTCCCAGAATTCTCCAGCTAGCGTTGCTAGCTGGAGAATTTTGGGAGTTGAAGTCCACACATCGTAAGACAATGGCTGCATCTCCATCTGTTGTCAATGCAAAAACATCCAATGTCAGCAGCGTTGACACCAAGCTGTGTACAGGTAATTCTCGACGTACAGCAGTTCATTTACTGACGGTTCAAAGTTACAGCGGCACTGAAAAAATGACTTCTGACCATTTTTCACACAACCACTACAGCATCCCTGTGGTCACATGATTTACATTCAGATGCTTGACAACTGGTTCATATTTATGACGGTCGCAGTGCCCCAGGAACACGTGATCCCCTTTTGTGACCCGGCAAGCCAAGTCAACGGGGGAGGTCAGCTTCACTTAACAACCGTGTTACTAACTGAACCAATGCAGTGATTCACTTAACCAACGTGGCAAGAAAAGTCATAAAATGGGGCAAAACTCACTTAACAGATGTCTCACTTAGCAACATAAATTCTGAGCTCCATTCTGGTCGTAATTTTGGGGACTGTGCTGACTGGGGAATTCTGAGAGATGAAGTCCACATGTCTCAAAAGTTTCCAAGTTTGAGAAACACCGATTGAAACAAAGCCAAGTCCCAAATTCCTTCCTAATTTTGTCCAGGTTGAAAGGCACAAGATACACCCTTGAGCGAGGCTGATTTTGAAAACTCAAATGTTATTATAGAAAAAAAGATTTGATCCACATCAGTGAGGCTCAAGGAATCTTTCTCTGGAAGGTTGAAAGACATTCTCCACTTCCACAATCAACCTCAGCTAGGCATCTTCTGATCTCCTGCTCGAAATCCCGATCTACAGTAAAGTTAAATCGTTCTGCCTTTAAAAGAAGAGAGAGAGAGAAATTTGTCAGACATTGGGTATGTCTAGTTTAACGAAGAGAAGGACGAGGGGGGAAATGATAGCAGCCTTCCAGTATCTCAGGGGTTGCCCACAAAGAAGAGGGAGTCAAGCTATTCTCCAAAGCACCTGAAGGCAGGACAAGAAGCAATGGATGGAAATTAATCAAGGAGAGGAGCAACCGAGAACTAAGGAGAAAGTTCCTGACAGTTAGAACAATTAACCAGTGGAACAACCTGCGTCCAGAAGCGGTGAATGCTTCAACACTGGAAGTTTTTAAGAAGAGACTGGACAGCCATTTGTCTGAAATGGTGTAGGGTTCCTGCCTGAGCAGGGGATTGGACTCGATGACCTCCAAGGTCCCTTCTTCTTATTATTATTATTATTATTGAGGATCATCGCACAGTCAGCCAGATGTTCAGACTGGATTTGGCATTTTGTCTACCTATCGAGTCCTTACCCAGGACCTGGGATAGGCAGATGTGGATGTTTGATGGTATTACAGATATCGTCACAGGATGGAAGCAGTTCCTAGTAAGATTGCCTTTTGCAATTGACTAATGGCGAATTTGTCAATGCCAATGGTGTTCAAGTGGTGCTCCAGTTGTTTTGGGATTGCACCCGAGGCGCCTATTACTATTGGTACGACCCTTGCTTGCTTTTGCCACAGTCTTTCTATTTCTATTTGTAGGTCTTTGTATTTTGTTATCTTCTCCAGTTCTTTCTCGTCTATTCTGCTATTATTATTATTATTATTATTATTATTATTATTATTATTATTATTATTATTATTATTATTATTATTATTAAAATATTTAGCTCTAAACATTCAATGATGAATCATTTTTAACCACCCCCATCCCCCAATCCTAGTTAACAACCATTTTGGTTGTAATGATTTGCTGTCCATACTATTTTTTTAAAATACTTTTTAAAAAGAGAGGTACTTTTTGTGTGCTGTTTCAACTCTCTTGAGAGCTTAAAAAAGTAGTCAGAAAAATCAAATCAGGCAAGATTTGAAACAAGTGCCCACTTGGGGTTCAGCCTGAGAGGTCATCGGAGTGTCCCAACCCTGATTTAGTTTAGCAGAGGCAAATGTTGCCTTGGTGTTGTGTGTGAACTGAATGCCTGTGACTGAAACAGTTTCCTTTTTTGTCACTGCTGATGGGACATTTCCAGTCTTTAAATCTGGAGTCTGTAAATGAGAAGCAACAGAAGACAAGGTTACGGTTAAATCAACTTTTTCCAAACCTTGGTTACAAACTGCATCTTAGCTTGGCATACAAACAAGGCTATTGCATGATAGTAAGTAATTTCCAATAAATTGGCCACCAGTTGGAGGTACACATTTTTTTAAAGGAGGAAATGGAAGCTCAGCGTCTCTCAACTTGATGTCTTCAAGGAATTACTCTAGCCTGGGGTGATAGGAGTTGTGCCAGCACTTATGGAGAATAACACATTGGTGGAAGCCACTAAAAACAGCTGGAGGGACAAGAAGGAAAACTTACAGAATAGGGCTGTAAATCCAGATATGTTGTTGTTGTTAATTGCGAAGTCGTGTCCGACCCATCGCGACCCCATGGACAACGTTCCTCCAGGTCTTCCTGTCCTCTACCATCTTCTGGAGTCCATTTAAGTTCACACCTACTGCTTCAGTGACTCCATCCAGCCACCTCATTCTCTGTCGTCCCCTTCTTCTATTTCCCTCAATCTTTCCCAGCATTAGGCCCTTCTCCAGTGAGTCCTTCCTTCTCATTAGGTGGTTTGTGTTTCAACTTCAGGATCTGGCCTTCTAAACAGCAGTCAGGGTTGATCTCCTCTAGGACTGACCGGTTTGATCGCCTTGCAGTCCATGGGACTCGCAGGAGTCTTCTCCAGCACCATAGTTCAAAGGCCTCCATTCTTTGGCGCTCAGCCTTTCAGATATGGATCACATCAAAAGCCTTCAAGTTCATCTCAACTTCTGAGGACTTCATGGACATGGACACTGACTTGTGCTTGTGTTTTTTTTTTTCTGGGATATTGAGACTCAGATTTCCTTGTGATCTATCCTTGCACTTATTGGAATATCTCCTTAGGGTTTTTAAAAAGTATTCTTTATTTAATTGACCAAAATCTGATTCCACCTAACTGGATTCATGAATACCGCAGGAAGCTATAAATAAGCAAAAATAGAAGCAAAAGCCCCAAAGAGGGTCTGCAACTTGTTGTATTTTCTGGAAGTAGGGGGGAAAAAAAACCAATTGAAATGAAAAAAATGATCAGAGAACTGGAGATCCTACCTGATCAGACAGAGCCTTGTCGTATCTCATCAACGTGGCGAAGTGCTCACAGTTTGCAGTGACGAGGTTGTATCTTAGGACTTTGTTTACCATATGCAGAGCTCTTTTCACCACACGAGTAGGATCCAAGGGAGGATATTTGTGATCGAATTTGTTCCACACGGCACTTTTCACAGCTCCTAGGACATCCTTGATTTTTATTCTGCAGACCTTGTACAATAATGTGTCAGAAACTGAAAAAAGAGAAGTTGAGATGCTGGGTTTCATAAATGATTTTGTTGACATCCTTGTAAGACAGGGCTTTTCAACCAGTGGTACGGGTACCACCTGTGGTACATTGGCACCTGGCAGGTGGTACGCGACTATTTAGAAAAATGGTAGCGGGGGAGGGGAATGAGCTGAACCGGTGGCAGCACCGCACAAGCCTGAGCGAGAGACGGCTGGAGCTGCAGGGCTGTCAGGGCTCAGCGGAAGCGCCAGGATCAGTGCTGCTTTCCAGCTGATCGGTGCTTCTTTGGGGCTGTCGGGGCTCAGTGGAAGCACCAGGATCAGCACCAGGCTCCAGCTGGAGCTCGGCGCTGATCCTGGCGCTTCTGCCGAGCCCAGAAGAAGTGCTGATCAGCTGGAATGTTGCAGCATCTCCAGGGTCTTGTGATTTACATTCAGATGCTTGGCAAGTGATTCATATTTATGACGGTCATGTGAACTGATCAAAACCTGTTGCATCCACCCAGCAGACGGGGGGAATAAAAACCAAACAACTCCCCCACCTCACCCCCGCTGCCAATCCTCAACAGAAATGCTCACAACAATGAAAATCTCGGACAGGAGGAAGAGCGCCGCCGGGCGGGCAGGCAGGTGCCTTGCTCGGCTGCGGCTTGGGGGGCACTTTTTTCAGTACCATTGTAACTTCGAACAGTCATTAAGCGAACTATTGTATGTCGAGGACTACCTGTACTTTATCACTTTTTTTCTTTTTTGGGGGGGGCATCAAGTTTTTGACACCTTGCTAGGCGACTGGTGGTACTCCTCTCAGCTTCAATACATGACATCAATAACTGAATCCTACCGTGATCCGATTGGCTCATGGCCAAAGCAAGATGATGTCTGATTGGCTCTCTAAACACTCCTGCTCATTGGCTACAATCAGATGAAGGAAAGCTCCCTGAGATCAACCTAAGCAAGTTGTGCTTCCTTTTTCTGGTGATTTGGCTATAACATTTCATAGAATACAGTAGAGATAATGGAACAAACTGGCTTCCGGTTTGAGACGTCGACTTCGTCGGAGGCTTCCTTTGAAGTCTCCCTCCCGGGGCTGTGTTAGAGCTGTGCCGACAGCATAAATCAGCTGTCGGGTGGCTTGAAACTCACCTCTTGGGCTAAAGGAGGTGGGGAAGCCGCTCCGGATAGGTGTTGAGCTCCCCAAGTTCCTTGAGGAATTTGGGTGAGAGCCCCGCCGGAGTCCGGAACTATCTCCGCACCCCGGGCAGACCTCGTCGTGTGTGAGACAAGAAGTCGCGCTCGCTGCTGCTTTCAGAAGATGTTCTTTTTTTTGTGAGTACTTATCTTGACAGCCGGTGCTGAACAGGAAAATGGACTTAACAGGGTTTTAATTTTAAATTTAACTCTGGAAGATCAAAGAGATCTCCCCCATTCGTCAAAGTGAATGTGAGGAGGAAAATGGCTGCGGCAGTTGTTTTTTTGCAACAAAGAAAAATCTCCACTTTCCCTTTGGTATAGTGAGGACGGACTTTGTGGATTCTTTTTTTCTTCTGACTTAGGATTTTTGATTTAAAGGACTATTTAAAAGAAATATATAATGGCTTCTAAGCGGACTGGACCTTCTGCTATTCCAAAATTAATAAAAACAACTGTACTTTCATCTTTGCAACCTTCATCGCTGATATCTAAATCTCCTCCCCCCACATCTACTCCCTTCCTCACTTTTCAAAAATTACAAGAAGTGCTTGATGATTATACTGAAAAGCTTATGTTAAAAGTGCGGCAATTTACTGATGACTTGATGAAAGAGTTTAAGGAAGAAATGGTTGGAAAAATAGAAGAGCTTGTCAAAATGCTTGCTGACTCTCTGAATGTAGTAGCTGATAAAGTGCA